AATAATAGCTTCTCTCCTTCTTCCCTTCCTCCTTTCTTCTCTCCCTCCCTCCCTCCCTCTTTCTTTTTTGGTTTTGTTTTTTTGAGTCAGAGTCTCACTATATAGCCTCAGCTGGCCTGGAACTCACTATGTAGACCAAGCTGGCCTCGACCTCACAGAGCTCCACCTGCCTCTGCCTCCCAAGTGCTGGGATTAAAGGTATATGTCACCATGCCAAGCCTCTTTCCTTTCTTGTACTTGGGATGGAACCCATGGCCTTTTGCATGCTAAAGAAGCAGTCTACCACTGAGCTACTTCCCCAGACTACACATATTTAATGTAAACAGTTTGATGGGGTTAGCTAGGTGCCTGCACCCATGAAACCACCACAAGTCACATCCAAAAGTCGTCTTTTGCCACTTCTTGTGGTTGGGACACTTAACATGGTATATTCCTCTTTTTAAGTACACAGTTCACTATTATTAGCCAAAGACTTTAGGTTGTACAGCACAGTTCATGAATTTACTCATCTGATTTAATTGAATTTTTATTTTTTATTTTTTTGGTCTTTTTAAGACAAGGTCTTCCAGCTGTCCTGGAACTCACTATGTAGACCAGGCTAGCCTTGAACTCACAGAGATCCACCTGCCTCTGCCTCCCTAGTGCTGGGATTAAAGGCGTGTGCCATCATGCCCGGCTTAATTGAAATTTTATACCCATCAAATAACAACTCTCCATTTCATTCTCCCCCAAACTCCTGGAAACTTCCATTTGATTCTTTTATAATTTTTGACTTTTTTTTTTTTTTTTTTTTTTTTTTTTTTTTTTTTTGAGACAGTGTATCCCTCTGGCCTACAGATGGCCTGGAACTTGCTATGTAGCTGGCCTTGCTCTCACAGAGATTTGCCTGCCTCTGCCTCCTGAATTCTAAGACTAAGGGCATGTGCCACCATGCCTGGCCTTTTTTTGAAAGGAAGGAAGGAAGGAAGGAAGGAAGGAAGGAAGGAAGGAAGGAAGGAAGGAAGGAAGGAAGGGAAGGAAAAAGAAAGAACGTTTAAAAATTAATTTCACACCTTTTTTTTGTTTGTTTGAGGGAGGATCTGGGGTTGTTTGTTTACTTGTTTGTTGAGACAAGGCCTTACTATGTAGCCCTCACTAGCCTGGAAGTCTCTACGTAGAGGAGGCTGGCCTCACAGAAATCTGCCTACTTCTACCACCCATGAGGTGGAATTAAAGGTTTATGTCACCATGCCCAGCCTCGCTTTTTAATTTTTTAATGTGACTACTAAACAATTGAAAATTACATGCCACTGGCATTGTATTGCTATAGAAGAGTGCTGGCCTGGCATACTGGTGAAAGAAGACATTACCACCAAAAAATAACTAAACATCAACAAGCTGTATGAGTTAGCTCCTGCTTGTAACCCTAGCACTTGGGAGGCAGAGGCAAGAGGATTATGAGTTTGAGGCCAGTCTGGGGCACATGAGACACTGTCTCAAAAAAACAAAAAAAGGAAAGAAAAAGCCTCCTTACACTTAAGCAAACAAGTATCTTGCTGGATATGGTGACACATGCCTGTAATTCTCCAAAATACCTCCTTTAGGCCAAGAACCAACAGCACAGCAGGAAGAGCTAACCCTAGCTCCTGGGATCATTCTTGCAGAAATGGCAGCGTCAGGGAGTATACACCATGAATCTGAGCATCTTTCTGTACCAGGATGTACAGTACAGCTCAAAAATTTTAAGAAACCAGGCATCATGATACACACATGTAATCCCAGCACTTGAGAGGCTGAGACAAGAGGATTGCTTCAAGTTCAAGGACAGCATGGGCTACAAAGTGAGTATCAAGCCAGGCAGAGATTCATCTCAACAAACAAACAAAACCAACCATAAGAATGAAAGCATACAGAAGAAACTCAGCAGACTGAAAGAATTCCCCATGGCTGAAACTGTAACAATCTGCCCAACAACATTAGTAGCAAGGTTAGATCACAATCCAATCAACAGAATCAATAATATGCTGGAGTATAATCTAAAGTATGTGACACCTGGGAATCCATACTAATAAAATAAATGGCTAAATAAATAGGTGAGGGGAATAGACAAGTCTCCCACACAAAACAATCTACTTTTCAAAGTGGTAGCACATAGCTCCCTGCCCCTTAAGTGTAGATTGCATAGGCTCACTTACTTCTAAAAGAATTATATTGTAGCACATTCCCTCGAAATTATATGACAAGAACAGCTCTTCACTCTTTGGTCTTTCTCCAAAGTAATCTATATCCAGTTTAATAATAAAGAAAACATAAGAGGCTGGAGAAATGGCTCAGTGGTTAAGAGCACTGGCTGCTCTTCCAGGGCACCCAGGTTCGGTTCCCAGCATCCATTTGGCAGTTAACAACCATCTGTAACTCCAGTTCCAGGGAATCTAATGGCCTCTTCTGACCTCCTCGGACCCTGCATGGCACAGGTGCACTTACACACATGCAGGCAACATATTCATACACATAAGGTAAAATTAATAAACAAAATATTTTAAAAGAAAAAAAAGATTGAGAATCTTCCTATAAAGCCATCAGTGCTCTACAAAACTGTTAAAGTCAGCAAAAATGAGGAAAATCTGAGATACTGTCATAGTCAAGAGGGCTCTGAGGCGCTACAATGACTAAGTTTAATATGGCATCCTAGAAGAATCCTAGAACAGGAAAAAATGGTTAAAACTAAGGAAAGATAAAGAAAGATGAATTCAATTGATACCAGCATTGGCCCAACAGTTGTAACAAATTGCTGATACTGATGTAAGATCTTGACAACAGGTCAAATTTAGCAGAAGGTAGGGAGACCATGTCAGTAGCAGTGGGTGTGGGCCACAGACACCTCCACACTGTCATCCATAGCAGTCTGAATTCTCAGTCTTCCGCTCAGACGAAGCCAGCATTCTTTCCTGCAGAAAAGAATTTCAGGCTGCTAGTAAAAAGCAGGGTTGTAACAGATTTAAGCATCAGCACTAGGGACAAAGAGAGGTGCTTAGGAAAAGGGCAATCCATGCACAAGCGCAGGTGTGGGCTTCTCAAAGAAACTAAGGGAGAGTTGTGCTTAAGCATTGTAACAGTAACCATATCTGTGATTTTGGTCACTTTCAGTTACACCTCAGAGTTTTGCTAAGAAACTTTTTCTTTGTCAGTAAATGAGATTATGGGGTGGTTGTGGAGGTGCCCTAGATAGGACTGCAATCTGATAAGGTAAAACCATGGGTCACAAGGTTGCACAAGAGTACAAGGAACAGTCATGTCCTCTACTGTAAGTGGGGTTTCTTGTGCAAGTCTTAGACAAATTTCCAGGTTACAGCTGGAAAAAGGCGGCCTTAAGCATGATTCATTGCTATTTTAACATTAACAGCATTTGAACTATATATAAAAGGCTTAAATGTAGCAATCTCTACAGCAAATTTTGTTGTTTTGGAATTCTTGACTGAGCTAGCAAAAGACTTCAATAGATTGAGAGTTCCTTTCCCTTCCCGTGCCCCCTCATTTTTCCGGGTTTTTGTATTGTTTTTTCCGGGTACCTCAAATTCTCTGTATTGACTTTACAACTCCTCTGTAACCTGAAACTTCTCAAGCAAAAAGTGTATTTGCTGGGTGTGGTGGTGCATGCCCTCAAACCCTTAATCCCAGCACTCAGAAGGCAGAGGCAGGCAGATCTCTGAGTTTGAGGCCAACCTGGTCTACATAGTGAGACCTTGTCTCAAAAAAAAAAACCAAAACAAACAAAAACAAAGTGTGTTTCAGAAAACAAAGCCCTTCTGTAGTTTGAAATCTTTCAAGTCTGTTGGGATCTTGATTCCCTGTCCCAAGTCCTTTATAATCTTACTATTTAGTGTGGTTACATTACCTACAGGATGTTAGCAACCTCTCTGAGAAGCAGAACGACTTGGGGAGAGTAGAGAAGGCTCAGTGGAGAGCAGGCCTATAAGAAGGTATTGTCTCCTAGGAAACGATAGAGCAGAAACCTGAGAGCCAGGAGGGGTCATGCAAATGAATCTGAAGTCGGCCAGCCTAGGGATACCTTCTTGCTGCGGGGGAGGGTCTTTTGGTTGAAATCGGGCTGATTTAATGAAGTCTACCCACATCATGCAGAAATTGACACATAAAATTAACCACAACAGACCTACCGTCTGAATCTACATCTTAAAGAATCTGCCAAGTGAGTGTGTGCATACACAGATGGACTATCTCTACAACGCTCAGTGATGCCTACATGGTAATTTCAGTCCCTTGGAAACAAGCCCTACCTGGTTCTTTAAACATGAAGCTTGCCTAGCATTTAGTGATCCAGAAGTTAGGGACGTCTTTAGAAATCCTCTCCTCCTACACAAGGAACCTCTGTCCCCAGTGAACCTCAACTAGTTTACCAACTTACTGACTTGCAAGCCTTCCTGTGTGCCTCCATCTCCAAAGGCATCTACCACATCTTATCTTTCTGATCTGCCTCCAGAGCTAGACTTTAGTACCTGATGGGCCCCAACGTCCCTGCCAGAGGTGACTGGGACTTTTCTCTAGTTCCTTTCTCAGAGTCAGCAGCAGGAAAATCTGTCCAAATTAGACAGAGAAAAAAAACCTGACTGGCATACATCACACAGCCTGACCAGCAGGGGATGTAGTCATTGGTACCAGCGTTGGCCACGGGTGCGTGAGGCCGTGGGGTCAATCCTCAATACCGCTGAAAAAAAGCTGTCTATATTAGGGTTTACCTGTAAAATCTGCAGTTCACTGCTTTTCCACTTCAAAATCTATTTAAGGCACATGCCGTCGTGGGGGTGGGCAGAGGTGGCAAGGGGGGGACAACTCTACTGGCCTCGGGGACCCCCGACATCCCACCCGCCCACGAGCCACGCCCTCCGGTCCGCAGCCTCCCAGCCGGGTCCACAGCAGAGTTGCCCGGAACTAAGATGGCGCGGGAGGGCCGCGGGTGCCCGTCGAAGGGCGGGGCGTCGCTGGCGCCGGGGACGGGTTCATACCCTCGCCCCGCCCTGTCGGCGCCGAACAGGGCTAGGGCGATCCTCCGGAGCGCTTCTGTCTGTCGAGCTGCTGCGCCCTTCGGCTTTCAGGTGGTCATGGGCCCCCTGGTTCGAGGTCCGGCGGTGAACGAGGAGGACGAGAGCACCGACAACACCCCGCTCCTGCCGGGTGTCCGGCAGGCCGAAGCCGGTGAGCGGCGGGACCCTCGCGGGCCTCGGGCGGCGGCACCCGGAACGGACCGGCGTGCAACTGTTGGGGCTTCTCGGCCCGGGGTCTCAGCAGCCGCCCATGCCCAGCAGCGCCCGGGCTACTACGAGGGTGTGGGCCGACCGGCCGGTGCTCCCGGGGGCTGAGCGGAGCGGCAGAGGCTGTTTGGAGTGGGTCTGAACTGGGGACCGCGGGCAGAAGCAATTGGGGTAAACCTGCGAGCCAGTGCGCCTAGGGCAGCCCGCCGCCGGCTCGCCTCCCTGTCCGCCTGGTTTCCGCTGCTGGTGAGCATGTGATCCGGTAGATCCTGGGGCAGGGAGGAGACGGTAAAGGATAAGAGTTAACAGCTGTTGAGTGTGACAGTTGCAAAACCCAGCGAATATCTTGACATTGCTCTGTAAGAGGGTGAAAATATTGCAGACATTTCGGTTATCTATAGATAAGATACAGTGCTCTAAGGTAATTTGTCAAAGGTCTTTCACAAATCGAAAAAGTCGTATCAAAAAGCAATCTTCCTTGACTGGCTAAGGATGTAGCTCTGTGGTAGAGCGCTCTCCCAGCAAGGCCGCTGGTCTCCATACCATCACCACCGAAGTCATGAGAATGTGTCTTCCCTGAATTCTACACTTCTGTGATGTAGCTTCTCCAAAGCTAAAGGACAAATCCGTTTGCAGACATTCAGAGATACTTGTTTTTAACATTACACCAGATGGTGGCAGTGGAGGTGGGAACGTTACAGTTCCATCCAGCAATGTATTTGGATCAAGTACCTTGGGCGTGAGTCTACAGATTTTTTTATTTCATTTTATGTGTATGAGTGTTATGCCTCCATATGCACCTGTATCGTGCAGTGCCCACAGAGGACAGAAGAGGGCGTCAGATCCCCAGGAACTGGAGTTAGCCACCATGTGGGTGCTGGGATTCAAACACGGTCTTCTGCAAGAACAGTCAGTGCTCTTAACTGCTGAGCCATTGCTCCAGCCTTTTTTTTTTTTTTTTTTAATGTAAGCGCCCTGGTCAAAGGGACTTGCTAGGTCCAGTAACCACCCTGGTGTGGAGAAAATCGTCTACTTAGGTCAGCATCTCACCCAATGGATTCTCGATCTTGTTCTCAGCTCCCTACTACATACTACATATGTAGTAGGGAGCCCTACATATCCAGGGCTTCCAGAAATATTTGTGGATTAAACTATAGATTGGAACTATGTGGGGAGGGGGGTGGGTGTCAAAGTGATGATGAGGTACAAGGGTACAAGATGTAGGTAGGCCAGGCATGGTGGCTCACACTTTTAATCCCAGCACTCGGGAGACAGAGGTAGGAAAATTTCTGAGCATTCAAGGCCAACCTGTCTATATAGTGAGACTATCTAAAAAAAAAATGTGGTTAGGCATTGTATGGGTCTATCTGTACTGAACATGTATGGAGTTTTGTTGTTTTTTTTCTCAGAATTATTCCCTCCAATATATAGTTTATCAGCTGTTTATCTTGTGCTAAGCATTTTAAGGGCTCTAGAGATGATATAAAATATATAGGAGGATGTGTGTAGGACTGCACCGTTTTTTTAGAAAGGACTTAAAGTATCTGAAGATGGTGTCCTGCACCTCCACATGTACTCCACATGTACACTGCATGTGCCCCTAACACACATGTGCTCTCTCTCTCTCTCTCTCTCTCTCTCACACACACACACACACACACACACACACATTTTTAAATTCTATCACGTCTTGTTTCCAGTTACTAAGAGGAATATATGGCCCATGAATGGTCTTACCAATACCTATCACTTCTGTTATACCTGAAACCTATTTATAGTATATATTGTTGCCTCTTTATTATCTTAAAGTGAAGTTCAGGAAAACAAATACACCTACATACACAGTTTCCAAAACCATCATATGACATTATAAGTGAAATAAGATAAAAGGCAGGTACTGTAAACAGTATGTATTTTAATATGTAAGTAACCAGGCACTGCTGCGCTAGAAGGTAGCATGACACATTTAAACATCTATAGTGTGCAGTCACTGTGTCTAACAGCTACAAGTGCAGGTTCATGTTCATAGATTACTTTAGCAACTCAGAAACCTCCAGTGATACTGCCTACGTAAATTTCTGAAAAGGTGAATAAACTTTAGCATTAAAAGTGCTTTTGGTTTATATATAAATTGGACTACAGGAAGGTTTTTGTGCCAGTACTGTGCTATTTTTGAACTGTGTATAATTGGGATAAATTACTGAGACTTCTAGCATTGCTCTTTCTGCTCAGGATTGCATTGGCTTTTCATGGTCTACTATGTTTCCATGTGAATTTTAGGACTGTTTTTCTAATCTGAGAAGAATGTCATGGGGGGCACTGGGAGAGATGGAGGGATGACTCAGCCACTAAGAACACTGGTTGCCCTTACAGAGGACCTGGACTTGGTCCCTAGCATCCACACCCGGAAACTAGCAATCATTGACTAACAACCGCCAGTAACTCCACTTCTGAGGAATCCGACACCCTCTTCTGGTCTCCATGGGCATTGCACAACACAGGTGCACTTACATGCATGTAGGCAAAACACTCATACACATAAAATAAGTCAAAAAAAATTTTAAGAATGTCATTAGAGCCAGGTGTGGTAGCACACGCCTTTAATCTCAGCACTCTGGAGGCAGAGGCAGGTGTATCTCTGTGAGTTCAAGGCCAGCTTGGTCTACATAGTGAGTTACAGGCCAACTGGGGCCTCAGGGAGACCTTGTTGCTAAGAGACCAATAAATAACTGTAAGAATGTCATTGGAATTTTGTTGGAGATTGTGCTGAGACTGTAGGCTGCTTTTGGTAATACAGTCATTTTTGTGATATTAATTATGCCAGCCCATAAGTATGGGTGTTCCCATCTTCTAGTACCTTCTTCAATTGCTTCAAGTATTTTGGGTTTTTTTTTTCTTCTTTTGGATTTTTTTTACATACATGAGTGTTTTGCCTGCATGCATGAGTGCACCCATGTCATGCAATACCCACAGAGCCCAAAAGAGGGCATCAGAAAGACCCTGTCTCAATAATGGTGGTGGTGGTGGTGGTGGTGGTGGTGGTGGTGGTGGTGATATAAAGAACTTTCATTTCCTTAGTTGGGTTTATTCTTGGGTATTTTTTTAAACAGTGAATAGAATTTTCCTAATTTCTTTATTGGCAAGTTCGTTGCTGGTGTATAGAAATCCTACTGATTTTTGTGTGTTGGTCTCTGCTGAAAGTGGCTTTTTTTTTTTTTTTTTTTTTTTTTTGGTCTTTTTGAAGCAGGGTCTCCCTGTGGCCCCAGCTGTCCTGGAACTCACTATGTAGACCAGGCTGGCCCTGAACTCACAGAGATCCACCTGCCTCTGCCTCCCGAGTGCTGGGACTACAGGTGTGCACCACCATGCCCGCAAAAGTGTTTATTAGAGCTAAGTTTACTGATGGAATCTTCAGAGTGTTTTTAAGTACAGGCTCCTGTTGCCTGCAAATAGAAATCATTCTACTTTTTTTCCTATTCATTTATTTCTCTTATCTTATTGTTCTAGCCAATACTTGAAGCACTATATTGAATAAGAACCGGAGACTTGGGCACCCTGGTCTCCAAGATTTTAAAGGAAATATTTGCAGTTTTTCCCCAATTAATATAATATTTGCTATCGGTTTTTCATTTATACATTTGTTATGTTGAGATATGTTCTTTCTATTCTTTCTTCAGAATTTTTATCATGAAGGGATATAGAACTTTGTCAGGTGTCTTTTCTGCATCTTTTAAAATGATCATGTGACTTTTGTCCTTAAATCTATTTATAAATTGTATCACATTTATTGATTTGTGAGCCTTAAGATGATCCTTAGGATGAAACCAAATTGGTCATGGTATATGGTATTCTTAATGTGTTCTTGAATTCAGTTTGCAGGTATTTTAGTGAGAACTTTTACGTTTGTGCTCATCAGTGAAATTGGTCCATAGTTTCCTTTTTTGGTGGTGTTGTATCCTTATCGAGTTTTGGAATCAGGGTGTGGTGATGCATGTTTTTAATCCTAGCATTCTGGAGGCAGGGGCTGACCTCTGTGAGATGGAGACCAGCCTGGTCTACATAGTGAATCCTTGGGGGAGGGGGGGACTACAGAGAGACCCTGTCTCAAAAAGCAAACAAGCAGGAATAACCTTCTCTTATTTGTGGCATAGTTTGAGAAGTGTTGGTATTAGCTCACGAAAGGTTTGGTAGAATTCAGCAGTAAATCTGTGCAGTCCTGGGTAACTTTTTCTTTGTGGGAAACTTTTAGTCACTGTTTCATTCTCAGTTCTTGTTATAGGTCTATTTAAGTTGTTTATGTCTTCTTGGTTTAATTCTAGTAGATGATCAGAGTAAGAATTTATTTCATCCAGAGTTTCTAGTTTTTTAGAATGTAACTTCCCAAATATTCCATAACCACTCTATTTCAGTGGAGTCTGTTAAAACATCCCCTTTTCATCTCTATTAATTTGTTTTTTCTCTCTCTTTGTTAGTTTTACTAGAGGTCTATCAACCTTGTTTATCTTTTCAAAAACCAACTCTTTGTTTTTTTTGTTTTGTTTATTTATTTATTTTGAGATAAGGTCTCTCTGTGTAGCCCTAGCTGGCTTGGAACTCACTATGTAGACCAGGCTGGTCCTGAACACACAGATGGTGCTGGTTTTCCCTGTGTTTTGAGATCAGGGATCCTTCCTCAACTCTTTGTTTGATTGAGCCACATGTTCTTGTAGTCTCATTTCACTATCTACCTTAATCGTTATTTTATTCTTGCCAGCTACTACATATTTTCATTTTATGTGTACGAGTGTTTTGCCTGCATGTATGTAAGTGTGCCACATGCATGCAGTGCCTGTGGAAGCCAGAAGAGGGTGTTGGATCCCCCAGAACTGGATTTATAGGTGGTTGTTAGCTGCGGTGTGGGTGCTAGGGAACTGAACTCAGGTCCTCTGTAAGAGCAGCCAGTGT